TGGTTGGAATGCCTCACGCAGTCCCCCAGCACGGCGCTGAAGCGCCGCTGTGCCCCCGGCTCCGGGAAGCAGTAGTAGCTGTGCCGGGAGAAGGGCTGCCACAGGTACACCGGGAACTCCTTCGGAAGCGGGACGAAGGCTGCAGCCGCCTCCTCGCTGGAGCCTGCACAAAAACACCTCTGCTTGAGAGCTGCAAATTTCCTGGGCATTGGCTCTGTGCCAGACCTCTGCCAGCAAGTTCATCTCCTTCCCAGTCCAGGAGATTGGGCACAGAGGGCAGGGGGACACAGCTGGGATGGGCACACTCAGCTGGCATCAACCACCTCTCTGTGTTACACCACAGCAACTTGACGGCCTCTTGACGGCTTTGTCTTCAAGCTGGCAAAAATCTAGTTTTGGTAAAATTTCAAATTATTTCACTGGATTACAGCTGCTAGGGAAACGTTTTTCATGGCAAATAAGTAAATTAGTGGAGAGCCCTGGTCCGTTCCACATAAAGACCATTTAGGAGCGTATGGACTTTCCTATAGAAACAAGCTGCATTAAATAAACCGAGTTGGAACAGCAGTGCTTTCCCTGGTTCCAGGATTTCCATACACAACTGCCCTTAAAAACTGTCACTTCATGGCCTTGCCGGTGATGTAAAGAAAGCACCAGCTTTCTACCTCCAGCTCCCACCTGCCCCGGGTCCTTGCACACAGGGGATGCTGGACAGCACATTTAGGGATGACCAAACCAAATCTCAAGTCACTGACATGCACTGAGAGCCCAGACACATGCGGTTCACCTTGGAGGGTCTTCAGCACCACACAGATGGAGAGTAGTGCCAGAAAGGTGAAGTGATGATATTTTTGAAGGAACAGCCATGGGAAGCCCATGAGCACCCTTGGGGTGCTCCACATCACTCAACCCCAACTGCTGCAGAGCTGTAGTGACACAGACAGGACACCTCCAAGCCCCTCTGACCACCCTGTGCCTTGGGAAAGGGTGTGAGAGGGCACTTAATTTTAAATCCTAGGGATTTAAAGGACTCAAAAAATAAATCCTTGTATTCAAGTTGCTCTTATCCCTTTCATTATGTGGCATCCCATTCTCCAAATATGACTGCAATGTGAGAGCCTCTTCCATAAAGCCTGAATTTTCTCTATCTTGGTGCAGTGGGGGCAGGCAGGACCACAGCAGTTCCCAGCCCAGAAACAACAAAGGCAGAAGCAGCCACCTTCCTGCCTTCTCTGTGGGACTTATTATCAGCTGTGAGTCAACACAGACAGCTGGCATCTAAAAATGGAAACAAATAAACCAGGAATATGAACAAAGCCTGGGAACAATGGTGCTGTGGTTCCTGCCCCGCTTCTGCACAGCTTCCAGCAGCTTGGTGCCGGTATGCTGGAAGAAAGGGAGCCAGCATTTCTCTGAATGTTGGCTTACAGCATCTGCTTTATTCATCCATTCTGGAGTTGTGCTTGAACTTGGAAAAAGGTCTGTGGGCATCTTCTGCTACCCCATTTTAAACTGGGGCCTAAAAGCCTTCCCAGAACAGAGTAAGGAATAAAGCCTGAGTTTTGGCAGTTCAGCTTTGAACAGGACTTACCAACAGGGTCTGGAAAATGTTTATCAGACAGCAAATTGTAATCTTCTTCTGAAGTCAGGACTTTGCCTCCTGCAGGAATAACATGATATTTAGGGCTGGCTCCCTTCTGGTAGGCCTGGAAAATCAACAGAGAAGAAGTATTGTTAAATAGAGATTTAAGGAGAGAGAAAACAAAAAATACACAATTCAGTGACAAAGCCAGGAGCTTACTCCATGATCCTTGTGGGTCCCTTCCAGCTCAAGATATTCTATGATTCTAATACATGGGGATATTGCCCAAAGGGAGAATCTTTTTGTCAGACTAAATTTTGGAAATGTTCCCTAGGCATGTCAAATCTGAAACAAATCTGAACTCTCAGTGCTTATCTGCTGTGGTGAGGAGTCAGGGATGGAAGGGAAGGAAAAAGGATGGGATTTTCTCCTGAGACCAATTTGTTGGATTTTTCAGCCTGGACTAGCTTGACTATGGCAGCTTCCAGGAAAAAACCTCCACTGTAGCCAGCCAAACCCTGCTACTTCAGATCCAACTGCAGGAGCACAGGGATATATTACAGGGATGTAGAGATGAGAAGTGCTCTGGGACAGGCACAGGAAGGTTCAAGTGCTGTTAAAAGGATTTGTTAGTTCTTGCTGACGTATCTGGCCAAGGAATGTCCCATTTGTTAGTTCTGGCCACTCATCTGGCCAAGGCAGGGCACTTGACTGTACCCTCAGCCATCCCTGTGGGGCTTCCACTGGAGCCACCCTGATGAGGACAAAGTTTCACCTCCTACTGCTGAAGGCAAGACAGCAGCAGCAAAGCCATTGCCATTGGAGTGTACAAGCAGATCCACAGAAGCAGCACTCACCTCTTTGGTCTCAAAGCAATCCACAGTGTAGTCATTTCTGATCACGACGTATCTGTCCTTCCACTTCTTCAGGTCCTCACTGAAATGCAGCAGCTCTCCTTCGTACAGAACTGTCCCAGCTTCCCCCGCAGGCTACAGGGACAATTGGTGACATTTGAAACCCCTCTGCACCACTGACCATCTTGAAGCCTTTATTTCTACATTTCCATAATGCTGCTCTGAGGGCTTTTGAGCCTTCAAATGCAATTTGGAGTCATACACATCTCTGATTTCAGAAGGTTCTACAGACACAAGCAAAGTCTTGTAGCCAAGGTGAGGAGGCAACAGAAGAGCTCTGCCTTCCAAAATACTGCCAGATTTCTGAGACAGAGATTTATTTACCTTTCAGCTGACAGGCTAAATGCAAGATCAGAGAATCCTGCAGTGGTTTGGGTTGGAAAAGACCTTAAAGATCATCCAATTCTAACCCCTGCAGGATGGCTTTGAGTTCACCACCTTCCATTTTCCACTACATAATATAAATATATCACTGATATGAAAAACAGGGTTTTATTATAATACAGTAAATTGTTTCCAATTTCTTTGTAATGCTTTTGCATATGTGCTGTAGCAACTGATACACACCTTTCTGAAAGACACAGATCTTCTATTATCCCATCTCACTGCTTTACCTACTCATTTCAAGAGCATTGGAAAACCATGATTTCCAGTATGTTCAGAACATTGAAATTTTTACCTTCTTAATCTTTAAGGCTAGTTCTCTGCATTTTCCTCTTGTAAAGAGACTTGTGTCTCTCTTTTTGTCTCCCCTCTAAAAAACCAACTTCCATAGTTCACTCCACAGACGAAATTATCACCATCTTCTTTAAGGAACCCTGAGCCACAGATGACAGGATTAATTATATTTCCTACATAATCTCTTCCCTGGAACTATGATATCTATCCCTAGATTTTGCAGAATCTTGCAACCAGCAAGAAGGAACCAGTTTTGTCCAAATGTCCAAATCCTTGTACCAGAAACTCATGTCATGGTTCTCCTCATGCCATGATAAGCAACTAAACAAAACCAAAATACAGATGAATTTTCAGAAGTAAAAATTCAAACTTGCACCCAGATGCAACTTTTCCATCCCAAAATGACCCAAATCCAACATCTGCACATGCACTTGGGTCTCAGACAGAGAAATGAGTGTCCTCCTACCCTGGTTTTCAGGAAGCGGGACTGGGAGTGGCGGTGCTGCTCCAGCTCCTCCTGCACGTGCCTGCAGAAAGCCACGGCGTACTGCCGGCGGTAGTGGGGGCTGAAGTTCTTGATGGTGGCCTCGGTTTTTCCTGAGGTGGAACAGAGATTTAAATGTATTACATGTACATGGCATCACAACCTGTAACACAGAACCAAGGCATCTCTCACAGTGACCTGAATTCTTCTCTTTGGAGAAGAGGCAGTTCCAGGGTCCCCTAATAGTGACCTTCCAGGACCTGAAGATAGGCCACAAGAAAGATGGAGAGAGACTCTGGACAAGGGATGGAGTGACAGGACAAGGGGGAATGGCTTCCCGCTGACAGGACGTTTAGATTGGATATTGGGAAGGAATTGTTCCCAGTGAGGCTGGTGAGACCCTGGCACAGGGTGCCCAGAGAAGTTGTGGCTGTCCCTGAATCCCTGGCAATGTCCAAGGCCAGGCTGGACAGGGCTTGGAGCAACCTAGGCTAGTGGAAGGTGTCCCTGCCCAGAGCAGGGAGTGTAACTGGATGGGCTTTAAGGTCCCTCTAACCCAAACCATTCCATGATTCCATGAGAAAACCTCCTGAATGTACCAAGGGTCACTTGCTGCACAGATCAGGAAACCCTTGGTGATGCATTCAGAGGGAATTTGTCCAGGAAAATATTGGGTTTGGGACTTGGTCTTTTCTTCTAAGATCAAGACAAGAATTCCCCAAATCCATTTCTCTAAGGAAAGATGCTCTCTGCCTCTCCCTGGGACATGCTGCCCCAGAGCCAAGGGTGGTCAAGGCGTGAAAGGGTTTTCAAAGACAACCAGTGACACTGGCTAATGTTCAGCCATAAGGGGCCAGTTTATCACTTACTGAGATTCTAGAGATGACTCAAAGCTCTACAAAATATTTTTCTAGGCTTGGGCACTACAGTCTCATCTTTGTTTTAATGTAAACATATCCTCAGTCATGCTGCAATAAACACTAATGTGGTATTGTCTCACTGTGATCAAGATCTCAAAGGTAACAGCAACAGCAATAAACACACTGAGGTCTCCCTTCTGAGAATCTTAAAAAAATTTACAAGCAATTAACTCATTAACCCTACCAAAGAAATAATGGTACTTTGCAGACAGGGAAGTGAAGCTAAAATTAAAGGCATGTGCATATATGTGACTGAAAGAGTCCACAGGAATGCAAGAACCAGAACCTGGCCTATGACCTAGAAAGCATCCCAAACATCCTGGATACTGGAGAGAGCCCCTTCTTCTTGGTATTAAGGAGCACCATGCAAAAGGGCATTTCTGAGCATACAACAGAGAAATGCAATTTCACATCTCAAGCAACTTAGATGCTTCCAAAATTTAATTTTGTTCTGCTTGGGGGGAAAAAACCATCGTATTTTCTGTATGAGAAAAGAAAATGGTAATTCTCAAACTAAGACTTTTTAATGGACTCCTAGACCAGGACTGGCACACAGCATTCCTGAAACAGAATTCATGGAAGTGTTCAAGGCCAGGGGCAAGGTGCAATCTGGTTTAATGGAAGGTGCCACTGCCCATGGCAGGGCATGGGACTGGATCGGTTTGAAGATCCATCCCAACCCAAACCATTGTGGGATTCCAGGAATTACTCCCTAAATTCCTAACATGGATGTGCATGAGAAGACAAACCTACATACCAACTCCTCTGCTTCTGCAGGTGAATTTCCAGTGTGATGCAGAACAAGATGCACCCCCTCAAGCTCAGGGGCAATGCCAATGCTTCCACTCCATAACAGCACCTTTCATTCCAGCCACTCCTGTGTCACCAGGTCGGAGGGGTGAGCTGGAGCCTTCTCCTTCACAAGCATCAGTGTGATTGCTGCCTTCCACTGAACTGGAAGCCCCTTTTGCCCCACTGCTGCCCCACTCCAATCCCACACCAGCACTGGGAGATCTGACACCCTGGAGCCTCTCCAGGCACACGGAGAAGCCGGCTCAGCATTGGCACAGCCATCCCACTCAGCTGGAGGGATGTCAGAACCAGAGTCAATTCACCACTCATGTAAGGTTTTCACAGAATTACTCGTGGGACAGCACCCGGTGACAATCTGGACTCCAAATCTTCAGCTTTAAGATCGATTTTTAGAGACATACTGATTATAGGATGTGCTTGGGTATAATAGCAGGATATGGTGCTGCTAAAGCAGAATATCCCAGCCCTACAGAAACTAGCCTGCTTTGGGCAGAGGCATAGACTTATTCTCCAAATAAGGACAAAGTTTCCCAAAACTTTCTTTGCAGCATTTTTTTTCCTCCTGGTCCCAGCCAGCAGTAGGATGTTGTTGGCCCCAGCCCCAGCAGAGTTTCCTGCTCAGGGTTTGCCCCTGTTTTGCACTGTGGCTTTTTCTTTTCCAGCTCACATCATCCTCTCAATTTGTTGGAGAGGGCTCTGGGACACTGCACCTCACTTGGCTACTGCCTGCATCCTGCAGTAAAAGTTTGCAGAGGAAGTGGGACAAAGAATAAAATTCTGGTGTTGGGAAAAAACTTGCAACAATCACAGGAAATACCTGTAATTTTGGCAAAGATTCTCAATTAAGGCTAAATGGCCTCAGAAGTGTCATTCTTCACTGTCAGTACTCCTTAGATCAGCTAAAAGCACAATGACTGAAGAGAAAGAAACACTGCAATTCACAACATATACGTCAGAAATAGGACATTGATGATGTAATTTTTATGTGCAGACTATATTTATGACAAACCAAAACAAGAATCAAGAGGCAAATGTTTCCAGTTGTTTCTTCCAATCTTCACACTAATTGTTGCAAAGGAGCTTTGCATTAAAAATACTCCTCCCTCTTAAAATTAGAAGAAAAGTTTATTTAAAGAGATTTGAGTGGCACCATATGAGGACCTGGCCTTGCAGGGCTCAGCTGAACAGGAATTTCAGTGCTACCTGAAGGTGAGAAGTGAAGCAGACAGACCCTTGATCCATTGTTCCTTAATGGATATTTAAACTCTTTTGGTTTACAGAAAATAAAAATACGCTATCTGAAAATAAACATGATGGAAACAGTCCTGAGTAACAGAAACTCTTCCCATGAAACGATAACATGGGGCAACTGGAGATAAAATACTCCAGGGCAATTGAAAAATGAGTTCCCCTAATTCTTTTCCAAATTTAGTGCAGCTGGCTTAGTCAGAGCTGTTTATATGGAGCACAGCCAATGCTCCCACTTGGCTGGTCTGGCAGTGGCACAGCTCCAGCCTATATAAATGGGACTTGAAGCCCAGCAGCTGGGATGTTTATCCTGGGAGAATGAAGAGTCTGATCAGCTCCAGGAGGAGCCTGCATGCAACCTCCTGCTCCTGTGCTGGGCCAGGAGTTGGACTCGGTGATTCGTCCCTGAGGGATCCTTCCAACTTGGGATATTCTGTGATTCCCTGAACCAAAATTACCAACAGGAAAAGACAACTGTGATGGAGGTGGAGGGATATCTGTCGACTTAACATGGCAAGGGTCTGTTCCTCCTTTGCTGAGGGTTTAGATCCTGCTCCAGAATAAACATTGCTAATACTTCATGATGCACCTCCCGCTCTGCAGCATGACCACAAACCTTTAGCATGAGTTATAATACCTCTTTTAAGACTAAAACCAAATGTCACTGCACTGAGAAACAAGAAACATCTACCTGTTGCCCCCCTGGAAATCAGTAATCAACCCCAGATTTTTTTTTTCCTTGCTTTTCCCCTGCCTTTGACCTTCTTAATTCTTAATTAATGTTGGACACTTGTATGTAACTCCAAGTCATCAGGCCAGCAGAATGGCCTCAAATACCCAAATTTATAGTGGGGATTTCACTGCTTGTATTGAAATAACTGACATACAGCTTTTTCAAACAAGGGCACTCTTCATCAAATTCTCCCAGAAATTAATTCCTGCTGGTCTAGTCACCAGTTTCCAGTGCAGCCTATCCAGCTCACCCTGCCACATCTCCCTGCTCTCAACAACATTGCCACGTGGCCAGGCCAGGTGCAGGCCAGGAAAACTCAGGAAAAAAGGTCAGAAAACAATAACATATTGGCTGGCACACAAGAGAGTGATTGCTCACACTCCCAGAACTTCAGCCATTTGGAAGTTAAGAATGGAAAGAGGGAAGGACTTGCCATAAAAGCTATTTCACTTAAATATTGGTGTTTGGCAGTAAGATGACCCTTCCAAAAGTAGGAAAATGTTCACAATCCTTCCACTTCACAGCACAATTGCCTTTCTCAGCACCTTTTGGAAAGGATTTTCCAAATATACCATGACCAGTGATATGAATTTCTTTGGAGGTCTGGGGCCTGAAGTATCTTCTTACACCATTTAAGCCCTAGGGGACATAAATGTAAAGGAAGTAGATTATTTGCTGCATTAAAACAAAAAAACCAAAAAAACCAGAACCAAAAAAAAAAATTAAAATAAATAGGCACTGTGTGTGCTGAATGTCAGTACATCCAGTACTTCAAACAAGTAAAGCAGTGAGACAGAACAGGAACCTTGTCTTATTTCCTCTAACAGATCATGAGCAAAACTGTCAGAACACAATCTATGCGCTCAGCTGATCATACCCACACAGTGCTCCACAAGCCAGGATATAACTCACAACTGGGGGCATCCTTTCAAATGATAAACTAAAAACCAGTTAATCTGTATGCAAATGCATACAGTACATAAACTGTACTTAATGCAAATTGAGCTTTAAAATTACTACTGTCCATCCATCCATCTACTTTTCTATCCAAAAACACAATCTTATTCTCACAGACCATCATGGTAGCAGCAAAATGAGTTAACAAAATAATTCCAGTGTTCAGCTCCTGGGCCAACTTCATCCCAAGTCCAAGAAAAGCACAACTCTGATTGAGGTAAACATATAAAATTGCAGATGCTCTATGTAAGCCCTGAAAGTTGTCAGTACTGGCAGCTCTGAAATGGGCTGGATGCTCAACAGGAAGGGAAGGAAGCAGTCACTCACCATAAAAACTGCTTTTACTCAGATCACCTGTTCACTGCAAGCATCATTATCAGTTGCTAAATGCATCTGGTAGCCAGAAAACCTGTGAAAGTGATTCTGTTTGGCATATCCTGCC